ACTTTTGTTGTGATTTGGTGCTATATAAATAAAATTGAATTGAATTGAATGTTAACATTGTCATTCTGTGACATACAGTTGAAGCATTTACTGCCTTTTGTCTCTGAGCCAGAGAGACGAGGTCCACGGTGGCATGGGAAACTAGTTTGAAATTCTAATCGTTTTGATAATAAATTGTAAAAACTCATAATTCTCTTTCATAAAAAAACGCTACATAATCAGTGCACTTTAGGGCGCACTGGCCTTACAAACACTGACAGCTGACCATTCCTTGATTTTCATTAGATTACAGTTAAATCTGAGCTCGCGCCCCAACAGAGTATAGTGTGGAAGAAATGGGGAAATGGTGGAGCTGTAAAATTGAGAATAAATGCAGGGAAGTGTGTCAGATGAAGCGACATGTCAGAAGTCAGGGCTGCAGCAGCAGCTGCACCATCAACAGCAACAACAAGGCTCACAGGAGGCTGCTGTTACTGGCACCAGCTGTGCAGAAGCGCCCATAGTCCCAACAACAGTGTGAGGAGGATACAGAGGAAGGTGAAATGAATGTTGTGAAAAATAAATGAAGGGAAACAATTATGAGTGGAAAGATTCGGGTAAAACGAATGCCATGCTTTGACCATGAACCATTCCTAACAGCTATAGCGTGGCTTAGAAAGATATTCTATCCCAACAACTGACAGTCAAACAAAATTAAATCTTTTCGCCTGCTTCAGTTTGTCAGACAGCTTCTGTTTAAGGGATTTCTTGATTCAGCAGGTGCGGTGCTGAAACTGATCTGAGCTTTCCAAAATATATTGTTATTTAAAGATATTCAGAATTTAACAAGGTTAGGCACTTTGTCACATGGGCGGGTAGATGGATAGCGTTTTTCCTTCAATAAATGAAACCATCATCAAAAAGAGTCTGCATTTTGTATTTACTTGGGTTATCTTTGTCTGATATTAAAAGTCTGTCTGTTGATCTGAAACTTTTAAATGTGACAAATATGCAACAAAATAAGAAATGAAAAAAGGGGCAGCCTTATGTTATTTACCTTTCTTAAAGCCTGACTGTGTTTCATCAGTAACTGAGTACAAAACAGATTTAAATATGTCATCAGGAACTAATGCTAGAATGTTATCATTTCACTTTCTCATTGGTTTCAGTATTAGAGGAGTTAGACCCTGATGTATCTTCCTGGAATGGTGAAGCTATTTTCTGGAAAACTGACTCAACATATCTCCAGTAATAGAAAATTTGTATATTTTATATTATTGATTATTATCGAGTATAATAATTCTCATCTCATTGAAAGTAATATTTGTGTTATTTTTTGATTATTATGAAGATTTTTATCAAGCCGATGCTACCACTGAGCATCCTTTTTTTGTTGGCTTTGGACCATGTCATTATAATGCCATCTGTTCATTCATAACTGTAAATTTAGCATCAAGAACCCTTTCCTATTTTTTACATTAATGAAGCTCTATTGCTGCCTGCATCAACCAGAAAGCTGTGAAAACAACTTGAATTATGTAAGAAACTGCAGTTTTTATTTAAAATCTCCTGCCGTGTATTTACTTATTTATGAAAACATTATTACTGTCTTATTTCATTATATTCCCTGACTGTTAATGCTATTGCTGTGAGTCCCTGGCTTGTCTTTTAAACGTTTTTGTGTTCTTGTAACTTGTTTTCCTTCAATTATTTAAAAGAAAGTTTGCAAATGATGTTGCGCCACACGCACACATTACGACACTGACTCTGCATTAGAGAAGAAGAAACAACAGGACATGTTTTAGTGCATTGTCAGAAATATGATGCTGTAAAAAAGACAATGATCCAAAAGCTTTTATTATATATTTATTATTTATTTCGTAAGAACTCGAGAAGTGAGAGTTATCAGGCCATATTTTGTTTTTAAGGCAGACTCGTTTGTTTGGGAGGATTTGATTTTTTATCTTTATTTTTTATTTTTTGACATTTCGGTCCACACTCCACGCCAGTTGGTGGCGGTAATGCAGCGTTTTGCTGCAATGCTAATATAAAGAAGAAGAAGAAGAAGAAGACCTTTACGACAATTAATTTCATTCTACGGTAAAACATGGCGCCGCGCAGCTAAGCTTGGTGAGGTAATGAAGCACCGAGACGAACACTGAGAGCTTTTCTCCTGCTTTTTCATTCTCAAAGTTTCAAAATATTTCCTCGGCGAGGCAGCAGCTCCCCGTGGAGCTAAGGCACAGCGAGGGGGGAGTTTCACACCACGATGGCCACGCAGGGAGGCATCGCGTTCCAGGAGAAGGTCAGCAGACTGCTCCGCGGACAGAACGGAAAACCAGTGCTCAAACCCAACAGGGCTCTGGTTCTGAAAGACGCGGTAGCGAACCGAAAGCCCAAGAAAGGGGGTAAGAACAGAAAGACATGAATACATCAGGAGAAACGGACCGAGAGCGCTGACGACAGAAGCCCCACCACACACCGAGTACAGGCAGCGTAGTTCAGTGATGTGCGGATGGTAGCAGCAGGGTGGAGCCTCGGGCTGTGCTCTACTCAAATTGAACTAAATGCTGCAAAAGTGATCGGAGAGTGCTTTACGGCATTGCTGTCTTAGAATAGAAGAGCAATATTAATTGACAGATGTCTTTAGATGATTTAAAATGTCAGTTTGATGTTTGATCTGCAGGATGTTTCAGCTCAATCACAAATAGACATTTTATTCATTTATTAAACGTTTTTCTCAAAGAACTACAACAGAGTTACGTTTCTGTGTTTATACACAAGTATCTGGATTTACTTTACACTTGTAGTTGCCTGTAGAAGTCCTTTATGTCCCACAGCCAGTTAACTAGATTTATTATGAATAACTCGAGTTGGATTAATGTGTAAATACGACTGTCTTTCTCCACAGAGGCCTCTTGTATCACTGAAATGTCAGTCCTGATGGCCTGTTGGAAGCAGAACAACTTTGTGGACACTCTGTGCTCTAATGAGATTAACAGCTTTTACATGTGTGTGGAAAAGGCTCAGGTATGTCCATGCTCTGCACCTTCACACAAGCACAAATCCAGCTGATGCAGAATTCAGTGAAACATGCCCATGCATTAACTGTGACACTGCAGAAACACTGAGAATGGGGATGGAGAAGAGTGTTACTGTTATTTTAGAAAAACACAAATGGAAAATAAATTATGCATCATATGCAAATTATGTATCCTCATGTGATTTTGATGTACAGCTTACCCAAGTGTCAGAAAACAACCATTCCTAACAGATATACACTACCAGTCAAACGTTTGGAGCCACCTTCTTATTTAATGATTTCTACATTGTAGATACAAACTGAAGGCATCAAATATATGAAGCAAGATACACAGGATTATGTAGCAAAGAAAAAAAAATAGATATAAACATGTTTTATATTTCGATTCCTCGAAGCAGCCACACTTTGCTTTGTTGACAGGGCTGCAAACCCTCGGCCTTCTCTCAGTGAGCTTCATGATGTCGTCACCTGACATGGTCACCTCACAGGTGAGCCTGTCAGGGTTCATTTGTGGAATTTCTTGCCTTCTTAATGGAGTTAGGACCATCAGTTGTGTTGTGCAGGTTGGTAAACAGTTGACAGCCCTATTTGACAGATCCAATCAGCTAATAAAGAGAAACAACAGCCCATCATGACTTTAAGAACTGAAGGTCAGTCAGTCCTAAAAATGGCTGAAACTCTGAATGTGTGCAGTGCAGTCACAATACCCATCAAACACTACAACACAACAGGCTCACACGAGGACCGTCCCAGGAAAGGAAGACACAGAGTCCCTCTGCTGCTGAGGATACATTCATCCGAGTCACCAGCCTCAGACATGACAAGTTAACAGCTCCTCAGGTCAGAGCCCAGATAGATGCCACACAGAGCTGTGGACCAATCAGGCCTTTATGGTCAAATAGCTGCAGAGAAACCAGGACTAAGGAAAAGCAACAAGCAGAAGAGATTTGTTTGGGCCAAGAAACACAAGCAACGGACATTAGACCAGTGGACACCTGTGCTTTGGTCTGACTGTGGTCTGCATGCATGGTTCCCACCGTGACCATGGAGGAGGAGGTGTGATGGTGTGGGGGATTTATTCAGAATTCTGCACCAGCATGGCTCACAGCATCCTGCAGAGACATCCCATTAGTTTGCATTTAGTTGGACCTTCATTTATTTTTCAACAGCACAATGACCCCAAACACACCTCCAGGCTGTGTGAGGGCTATTTGTCCAACAAGGAGAGTGGAGTGCTGCGGCAGATGGCCTGGCCTCCACAGTCAGCTGACCTAAACTCAGTAGAGATGGTTTGGGATGA